GAATCCCACCCCCCCCCCTCCTCCCCCCCCCCGCCCCCCCCCAGTGTGTCCACACACCTGTTTCCTCACAGTCTGGACCCTGTCGTGTGGTCATCAGAGCCCAGCTCTTTAAAGCAGATCTCATTGCTTCCTGTATGACTGCCTGAGGGGGTGTTTCTCCCGCCGCACACTAACTTCATTATGTCACTCTCATTGTCTCCACAACTCGTCTTCATGATAATTCAGCCTCAGCTCTAGAGAGACGCCTGTGGCACTTCTAGAAGCGGTCTCTTCAGGACAAGTGTCACGCTGTGCGATGGTGATTAGATGAAGAGTGTATTTATACAGTTAATGATGCAGACCTTTCCTCCGTGTCCGGCGTGGGCCATTGTGAGAACATGGCTCCAGTCTGCCTACATCCTTCAGACCTCAGAGTTTATGTCCTCATTCAACCCAGTGGAGCTTTTCAGCAGAACGCCGTTTGAGCACGCAGCGTACGTGTTGTTGAGAGTTGAGATCACAGTTGTGAATCAAACCACTTCCTCAGATCTTGGATAGGCCGCCCGGAGGAAACGCAAGACGACCTTAACCGGCGTCCATTTAACCTCTTGTTCGTCTGGAGAAATGCAGGCATGTGTGAATGGAGAGACAGATTGAAAAGTGTCAGATAAAGTTAAACAAGGAGAGAGAGCGAGTCTTCCACCGGGAGAGAGGGGCACCGTACACCTCTCTCCTCTCTCTGCTCCCCTCTGAAGTGAGAACCATCTCTGTGTGTCTCAGACAGACACTGCCTTACGTCCACTTGGATATGGATTCTTCCAGGCAGGACAGGGCAGTTAGTAGGTAGATGGGATGGACTTTACGTGAACCTGCCGACCAATTATTCAGGAGGGTTACAGTTAACAGAACGGTCACTGTTGAGGCAACAATTTTGCGTTTAGAATTGCATTTTTTTTAATTGTCAACTTGAAGGTGTTTCTTCATGGTACGTCCATTTATTCAAATGTTCACCACACACACTACGCAAATGAAACTGTTCAGTCAGTACCAATACCGGTCCTCGCGTCCGTATCAGGAAGAGGCCGGCATCGAAACCTTCCCTCCATTTGTGTCGACCAGGTACAGACTCTGATGAATAATTACATAGACAGTTCTAATCAGGTCATGCGCTGCAGCTCTTGATTAAAGGCGATCAGACTGGATCAGGTCTTTGAAGGCATGTGAGTCCACTTCAGCAAAGACCTAATTAAACAGCATATCTCCTCTACACATCTTAAAACACTCGCCTATAATTTAGTGTTTTACAAATGGTTCTTTGAAGTTCTGTTCTATTTTTTTCCCTCCTCCGTTTGCAGTGTGTTGCCATATTTTTGACGTTGCTTCTTGTGATTATTTTAAACCAGGTGCCAAAGACTTTGGTTTTAAAACTAAAAGCTCAGACTGTTTATGAAGTGACAACAGCATCGTCCTCTTAGTCATTTTCCCCTCTTCGTCTCGAGGCACGGTCCCCTGAACTGTGCCCTGCTACCCCACAGTGATGCAGTCTGGGTTCATCTCCCCCCGCAGGCTGGCACATGTCTTCAGCTTTCCACCACAGTCCAGAGTCTTCCCAATGCCTGGCCGCCCACACTCCCTCAGGAGCCCCAATGCTCCAGGATACGGGATGTGGAAATAATGCGACTTGAGTGCTTCCACCCTGCCTCCCGAAATCAGGTTTTGCGGATTGTTTATTTGAGGGGAAGGAGGCCTCAGACAAACATCCTGTTTTAAAAAGCTGCCTAGGTTTTGTAGCTCTGAATTAGCCCGTTGACGGTGGTGGAGACTGAGGAATGTTGACGTGAAGGCCATCATCTCGGGGGACGTGAGGGGGCTCTCTTCACCCATTTGTCATGTTAAGTTAGTGTCCATTTTTAGGGCGGGAGTTTTTATCCTATACATCCTGGAGGGTC